GAGCTTCTTTTTTACTCATTCTTGAGCTTCTTTTTTACTCATTCTTGGGCTTCTTTTTTTAACTCATTCTTGAACTTCTTGTTAACTCCTTCTTACAGCTCCAAGCAGTGATTTCCCATGACAAAGCCCTTCCTGCAGGAAGAGTCACCCCAACATTTTGATGACAGAAAAGTTTCCCAGCAGAGCCCAAATGTAACTTTGTCAAGTTGTAAAAAATCTCCTGCAGGACCAAGCAGCAAACTCAAGTTCTGAAACCTCTTCAGGACATTAATTTGGGTTGGTTTGGGTCTGCTTTGGGGGGTCTCTGATGAAACCAGCCCTTGCCATGTTTGCCCTGTACAGCACTTCCAGGGAAAACCAGAGCCATTCCCTCCCAAAATAAGGAATATCCAGCAACAACTACCCACTTACACTGCCCCTACAGCAGAGACAGCACTTCTTTCATCCCTTTACAAGGTGCACATGAAAACATCTTAATTAATACTTCTCAGAACAGCAGGGAGGGAGCTGGGGAGAGGAGGAAGAGGAAGAAAGAATTGAGAAACAGGAAAGGGGCACAATGGTTTTAAAAAAAATTACTATGAACATCCACTGGTGTTTTCTTCCAGTAAGTGATTCGAAGGTTTTGCAAGTAAGAGAAACATCTGGAAGTTTCCAATGAAAATTAAATATAATATTATGCAAGCCATGCAAACAGAGAAACTAAGCAGTGAAGTGTTTTAAGACTACCTTTTTCAATGTATTGTTGGTTTTAATCTTCTTTTGAGCAGTTTGTTTTTACAGACCAAGTTGAAAGCAATGCCTGCTGAATATTTACTATACATGACAGATATTTAACCTCATACTAAACCCACAGCAAATACTGTGCTTACAAGGGCTCTGGAAAACAAGTTTCCCTAATGAGGAAGCACCAAGTATGTGTGCAAGCAGAACCAAGCAACTTTTATATTTAAGAGAAAAAACAGGCTTTAAAAAGAATGAACATTCTTGTGATTTCGAGGATTATTTAATATTTAAATCAACAATAGATACCCAATAGAAATGGACTGGAAAAATCTTTAAGAAGCTGAAGGATGTTATGATTTGGAAAAAATATTGATTAAAAGAAAACATAATAAATGAGATAAATGGTGCTGGAATTATTGAAGCAGAAGAGAACCATCCATGTATTTTGGGAAGGGAACAATATGTGATAAACACAGCTCACTGCAAAGGAGGAATTTGTAGAGCTTCTTTAGGAAATAAGGAGGAAATAGATGGTTAAAGGGAAGTTTACAACAAGAGAAGGCAACTGGACAATGTGCAAGAACAAACAAAACACCTGAACTGGAAATAAAGTCCCACCTCCCTCCTGAGGCTGAACACGTGACAGGTGACAAAATAGAAGGACCTTTTCTTTTTGGTTCCATAATCACAGTTTGCTTACATATCCACACAGTTACACAGGCACAAAATCCCAGCACAAGATCTAACAAAAGGCTCAAAAATCAGTTTTTCCACCAGCACCAAAGCCTTGCCCTGCCTTGCTGGGCTCTGCTAATGCACCAAAACCCAACTATTTAACATTAGGTGCAAGTCACAAGTTTAATTATTGCCAAATACACTAAGCAGCAGTAATTTTTTTTACCATAGTTCCATAATTGCTTCTTTCTGTCTGTCCAAGGCCTTCACTCATATCTGCTAAATTGGTCAGGCTGCCCCCATGGATCCCATTGAGAGCTTCATTGTATTCCTCTATGCTCTTGTTGACTTCCTGGTGGCTCTCTTGCAGTTGGGAAAGTTTACTTCTTGCCTGAGAAGGAAAATTCTCATTAAACACTGTTGCCAGATAGTTGCATTTCCCTCCCCCCCCACCAGAATTGAATTTTTTCCTGACTCAGACTGGGAATAAACCAGATTAAAAAAAAAAAATAAAAGGCTTATTTCACGAGCCACCACTTGTTTTCTCTTCTAAAAATAATCTTTCCAGGTGATGTTCAACTCAGCCTTTCAAGAAGCAAAAAATTGTATAAACTACAGTGAATACCTGGTTTATTTCTTCCTGTGTTGATTTTAAAGATTTGATTATTGTTTCAAGCTGCACTTTTCCAGCCTGGATACTCTGCTCCAGCTGAGTCTCTTCCTGCTGCAGGCGATTCAGTTCTGCTTTTGCTCTGTTAAGGTCATCTTCCTGTAATTTTAAATCTGATTCCTGAGATTGAATCTGCATTTTTAGTGATGAAATCTGAAAAAAGTGAAATTTGAAATGAACGTTAACTTATTAAATTACGAATTTATAATATAAATAACAGGAAGTTGTAAAGCAACCTATCAATTGCTAAGGAAAATAGAACTTAATATGAAGAAATTCGTGCTGCTTCTGATGTTGCACAAAATCCATGATAAAAGCACAATCAATAAACCCAAGAAATACTATTTTAAATCACAGAAATACCACAGTAATTACATAGGTAATTAACAGGTGTTTCTTAGACCGGGTTTTCAGAACCTGGCTCCTTTTGCATTCAAACATTTATCAAGGAGCATGAAGTTGATTTTTAACTCTGATAAGAGTTAAAATTACAGAGTTGCTTAAACACTTCTTTCTTCAACACTTTCTCACACCATGTTACAGAGTTTCTACCTTAAGGTAACCTGCTATTTCCATTGGCAATTTTATCTCCCTGAAAACCCACTTTTAACTCAACACTGGTGACCTTCAGAGGTTCAAAACCTGCACCACTGCCATGGACTGTCTCTGATGCTTTTCAACTGCCTTATTAGGTCGAATAAATGTTTTCTATATTCTCAGAACAACAACAATTTCTGTAGAAAGGGACCCCTGGAGATCATCTGCCTCAACTCCACCTTTATGACCACAGTGAGAGGTATTCAGGGGAGCAAAACCCTTTCTTGGACCTCTGCATTCATGTGGAAATTGCTATTTATGGTCAAAACGAACAGAGAAAGCAAGTTTGTTCATTAAATAAATAGAATTTCCTTCAACAGAAGACAAAACCACTGTTGGGCATGTCCAGAATTAACACACACTCACCACCTGGGTTTCTTCCTGGCATTTCTGCCTGACATCATTGAGCATATCCTTCAGCTTGGCTTTCTGCTGGTCCATCTCATCCAGCCTGTCCTGGGCATCTTGTTTCTGAGCCTCCAGCTCTTGCAAGGTACTTGTCTCCCTGTCTAAGTCATTCTGCAGTTCCTGAGGAAAATCCCACAGTTTGGAGCTTACAAGGAATGATCAGCCACAGATAAGCAGGTTTTGCAAAACCCAAAAGGTTTTCTAGGCCCCTGCAGCTGTTTTATTTCTGCAGGAACTTGTCTGAGACAGCAGGAAATAAATCAGTGCACATGGCATTGAGTTATATCCCGATTATCAAAACCAATACTCTTGAATAATGTTTTCCTAAATTACAGTCTTAGCTAAGCACTAAAAAAAAACCTTCCAAATTGTTCACATATCATCTTTGTATTAATCAGCATCAGATGAAAACATTTCTGATGGAGAACAGGAAAATAAAATTCTTTCTGTAAGTCAGAGGAAAATCCCATGAAAGAAAGGAAGACTTGCCCAGCAGCAACATAAACACATGAAAAATGCTTAATTCCCATATATTATTTGGATTCAAATGAAAGCTGCTAAGGATAAACAGAAGATTTTACCTGAACTTCATTGGTTTTCTGTCTGATTGATTCTTCCTTTTCCCTAATGTCCTGCTCTAGTGAATATTTTTCTCTGTCAGAAAAACAAGCACATGTATTTATTATTAGTTAAATAATACAACACACACAAAAATCAATTAAATATTATTCTGGAAACACCACGTAGCTAAAAAAGCCAGCACATATTCTCATCTATTTCTTTAAGGAGTAAAGGTTTATATGCATCAATTATTCTTTGAAAAACACTATCTGTGGCCATAAGCAATGTCCTGAAGTCACCTGGTAGAATCCAGGCTGGCTTTGCATAACTGTAAGATATCAGTGGGAGATTTGTCACCAATTTCAGCGACAAATAAAATTCTAAAATGGCTAAAAGAAAACAAAAGTAACTGACACATCAGCACTATAGACTTGTTTGCTTATTGTTCAAGATTTTGTTAACAATCCACAACTTTACCTCTGCAGCTGAGCGATTTCTTGGCTAATATCATCCAGCTCCTTCACTCCTGTGAATTCTCCTGATCCAACAGAACTTGCACTGTCCTGTAAAGAATGAAACAGTCAATTAAAATGTTGAGTGGTCACAGAAGCTCTTCCTTTCCAAAGGCTGAGGACAGAGGTGGCATACAAAATCCTCTTTATATGATTTTGCAAAGTGCTACGAGACACATCAAATTATTGTGCAACAAGCAGGAACATGCCAAGCAATTCTGCCTGAGGGACAGGAGAATTGTCTCTGTGGCTGTTTAACAGCCAGGAGAGTTGGGGCACACAGCAGTGAGAGGACATGCACAAGGGGAACAAATAAACTGCAGGCTCTGGAAGAATTCAAATTAAAATTCAAAACCTAAACCCCAGCTCTGTTGCAGTCAATAGTAAAGTTTCCAGGGAACTCAAGGACAGCAGATTGTAATTTCAGTTTTCTTGAGCCCTGCCACAAATTCATGGCAAGTTCTGCAATTATTCAGGTCATTTCTGCACCCATTCAGGGGTAGATCAGGGAAGATGCAGAGGGCACCCCTTGTCTTTTAGATAAGACTATCAGAAGTTATTAAGAAAGGATCTCAGCACTAGGTACAAAAATGGTTATTACTATAAAAAGGACTGCTCTAAGAAAACCCACTGCAACTGAGCAAAAACTGCAGCACTGAACTCCCTGTTAGCATGAAAAAACAGGAGACCTACAATTTTTAAATAGCATTTTAAAAAGAAGAAAGTACAGTTTGCTTGCTTCGCTCACTTCGAGGTTGCTGTGATAACCACAGAAAGCTTGGCTTTATTAAACATAGAAAACTAAACAAGAACCTAATCAATAAATCAAAATCAGCAGACTAAAAGGTGACATTTTTGTAGAAACAACAGGTGAGTATAGAGTTTAAATAATTACATTAAATTAAATTAAATTAAGTCCTCATTTTGGGTGATCATTTCTTTTGTAACACGCCATTATGTCATCATAAATAAAAAATAATCCAGACTAATTCTTCAAGGTAACAAATCAAAAGCTTCTTATATCACTTTGATTTTGTCAGGCCAGATAGAGATTTGCTGAGAGACCTGCACTGAATGCTGGACAGGGTCACAGGAAGGTGTCACCCAACAGGACTATGAAAGAAGTTAAAACGAGCTGCTGCTTTGCTTAGGATAAGAACCACTTAACTAAGCTCACTAAGCTCAGTTTATTTCATGTTATGCTCAGCTAAATAAAGCTCAGTTTATTTCATGTTATGCTCAGCTAAACACACATTAGGTGGAAAAAAATTGGAATTAGTTGGAAATAATGGGAAGCTTAAAGATGTATTTACTGCTCATAATTTCAGAGAACTAATCCATGAGTAACTTCGACTGTTCCTGTCCCAGAAACTTCCTGACAGAGCAATTGGTGAGGGAATAAATATCACCAGGTCAGCAGCCAGTGCTGGGCCCTTCACACTGCTGTGACATCCCATCATGCCAAGGGCAAGTGGCACAGAACTCAAGAGCAGAGACAGGCAAAGGTGGAGAAATAAAACCAGGTTTTGAAGTCAGCAGCATCAGACACAAAAAAAAAATGGGCATTCCTTTGGGTGTCACAGTTACTCACACGCCGCATCTCTGTGAGGGCTGAGATCTCAGTTCCTACAGGGGTCAAGTACCCTGACAGAGTCTACAGAAAAAGGAGATGGGAGAAACCTTAAAAGGATCACAGCAACAGCAACAGTGAAGTTATTTAGAGCTCTGAAAGGTTTCTGGTTAGGGAAAGTTAAAAAAAAAAAAAAAAAATTAAAGAAAAATACAGTGTAGTTTATAGAACAGAGGAAGGTATTGACAGGATAGAAGGGTTTATTCATCTCATTTTCAGAAATACAGTGTGGAGGAAAGGAGTAAAGCAGAGTTTAGCAAAGGCTCAGGTGCTCCTTTATTAGCAGGGATGGATGCAGGACTGTGGACTGGCATGATACAAGGGATGAATCCCAGAAACTAAGAAGTCATCACCCTTCACTTAGCCATTAAAAAATTTCTCCAGAGGAATTTGGTGCTGATCACAGTCAGGGACAGGATACTCAACCAGCTTTTAATATTTGCTGTTAGGAGTTCCTCAAAGTTAAAATTATAGAGAGAGATAATATATAAATATATACATCTATATTATAATTTATATGTTGTTAAAATCAAAATATTAAAAAAATTAAAAATTAAGAAAAAACTCTATAACAAAGGAGTATTTTTCATCCCAGACTTTTTTCAGCATTATGACTCCTTTTATGGAATAGTTTATTTTATGGAATATTTTACTGCATTTTTCTTTACTCACGGCCTTAGTTATTAGAAATCTACATTTATTTTCAAATGTTAAAGAAATTTGTAAGAGGAGGTAAGAAAAAAATACTGGCAATTCTTTACCAAGCTATTTAAAAAAAAAAAGTACAAAATTCCTATTTAAAACCCATTTCAAAGCACATAAATTCAGTGTTACCTACAAATAATCACTGACTTACCTGGATGGGAGTGTTCCTCTCTGTGGGAGGGATCATATCTGGGGATAACACTTGGGGAGGATCAATCCCTTTGCTGACCTTCTGTTGAATGAGATACATGGCAAGTGCAAACTGGTCTTTGCTGAGCTTCCCCATCTGCCTCGTGTCTGCCAAAGCCCTGGTAAAAAAAACCAGATCACCCTCATAAACAAAAAAAAAAATCTTATTTCTCCTCTACCAAAAAGCCTCAAATACACATATACATGTAATTTCCTTTTGATTCATCCTCAGCACAGCTTGCTTATTCTAGTGAGACTTCCATAAACAGAGCAGGATTTTATTAGACATGTTTAACTGAATGGAGCAGTGCTGCTCTGAGAAAAATATTTAAAGCACTAAAACTTCAAAAGACAATCACAGTTCACACTTCATGGTCACTCTGATTACAATTCAGCTGTTCTTCCAAGTCTGATTAATGGTTTCTTTGGCACTAAATTCCTTAAATTGGGAATTAAATTTCTTTGGTATTCCAATCTTCCAAGCCTGACCAATGATTTCTTTGGTATTAAATTCCTTTTCTATAATTCATTGGCATTAAATTCCTTACATTTGGTATTCCATTCTTCCAAG